CACATTATATCCAAAAAAAATTTATTTTGTGTCAATTATACACGACAAACTAAAGTGTGCATCGTATCTCTACAAGGCAATCTTGTTAGATGTTACAGACCTATGTTTGAGGCTTGGACTTGGCGCATTTCCCTTAGTGGCGCCGAGAGGCACAGACAAACTGTGTGCGCGGCGCTGGATAAGGGAAGGAATGTGGGAAAGACTAGGAGGTTCCGGGCGAGTTTGGCGAGAAGCCGAGTTGCAAGGCTTAGTCGGGCGTCCCTTAGGCTGAGTAGATGTTCAATCGGGCTTGGACAAGTTAGAGGGGACTTGTGCAATATTCATCTTTTCAATGTCTAGTGGCTAGAATCCAGAAAGTAGTTTTTCCCGCTTCTTGGGGGAGGTAGTTAGTGTTCTGAAAGAGGGATGGAGCCGGTCATGTGAGAGGCACGTGAGGGGGTCGTGGGCCTAGTGTGGGACCAGACCAACTGCCCTATTCGGATCGGATCATGCGTCAACCGATTTGACCCAAGTCGATATCGGGTACGGATAAGTCGAGGGCTCGGTTCGGTCGGCAACAGTTGTGTTTAGGGTTGTGCATGGCCTATGCGCACGTGGGCTCGGTCTTCACGGTTACACTCAGTTGGATCTAGTAGGCAAAGGTCGGATTATCACGGTTCGTGGCTAAGGGTTGGCTCGGTTGACGAGAGACGAATGAGGCGAGCGTGCATGAGCACCGCAACCTAGCTCTTGGCGGGAACTGTTATGAAGTTGAAGTAGGCGCATGCTTAGCACGTGAGCGACGGTTGGCAGGCTAGCGTGACAGACATAAGGCTTCAGGTCCTTCATGATGTGGCAACCGTTGGTAAAAGAAGATCGTTGCATTGGCTTCGGATAAGGAGATGGCACCAGATAATGGGCAGTTTGGCCAACTACCCAACGGTTACCCTGTAAGAGTGGTTGGGGATGTCAACCGCATAACCTGGGTCTTTTAAATAGTCCACGTGGTGCACAGACGCGGGTACGAGCGAGACGTACATGAGTTGTGTGCAGTCTGACATTTTTCAACATTGCTATTGAGTAATTATAAACTTGTTGGTTGGGGCTAGAGCCCATAAATGAGTTGCCTTGATTTTACTTGATGAGCATGTGTGTCCATGCGTTGCTTGCTCGCTCGTGCGTGGAACACTAATCCGACTTTTATAATTTGCGAGTCGAGCATTTGGTGTGCAATCAGAAGACTGACTGGTTAAAGAGATCATGTCGCATAGGGTGAGATTGGGCGAAAAATTATTGCAAAAAAAGCTAGCCCTGTGACAAGCAGTATTAGAGCCCACGTTGGGTTTTGTATGCTGCAAATCGAGGAACGATGGGTGATCATATTAGACATGAAGAC